CGTGCTAGCAATAACGTCAGGCTTGAGCTCCGTGAGCTCACCTACTCGCCTGGTGACGCTGATTTGGTCTCTCAAGATCATCAGCTTAGGTAAGATATCATAGAAGANTAGCAAAATCTATCATGGAAGTTTTTATCAGAGTTTCTCGCCAGATCTTGTCAGTGGGTCGCGTTTCCGATCCCGTGGTAGATTCTGCGAAGCACGGTGGTTCGTGCTAGCAATAACGTCAGGCTTGAGCTCCGTGAGCTCACCTACTCGCCTGGTGACGCTGATTTGGTCTCTCAAGATCATCAGCTTAGGTAAGATATCATAGAAGAGAGATAAGAATCATAGAATAAAACTTGAATAGCTCATATATCTTGATACTGATAACTAAGAAGAGAAGATTTTCTATCGAGCGGTCTTTGCTCAGTTTTTTTTTTCCTATCCTAATCTTGTAAATGTCGTTAGTGAGTTTTAGGTTTTTGTCGGATTTATTTTTTGATAACTGTCGCTGTACGCATTGTTGTTATTTAGGCAGCGGCTTGGCTCTGCCCCTGGTATTGCTGACGTCCATGAGCGACGGTGACCACTTACCATCAGGTGGGCCGTATGCTCGTCTGCCTACAAAGGCAATAAAAAAAGAAAAAAGAAAAATGCAGCTTTATCAATAAACAAAACAGATGAGATAGATTGATATTAATTAGTACCTAATGGTGACTGAAAATCTGGGTGGCATACCTGTAGTTTGTCATTAATATTTGGATAAATTATTTAATTTATTGAGACCCTCTAACCTGTTATTCCACTAGTGATCTTCGGCTGTTCTCTATGTCGTTATTTAGAGGGAAGGGAAAAAGTTACGGGCTTAAGACAAAGATATTCCGCGAAACGATAATTTAGTTCAGTAAGCTAATGAGAATAGAGTCCTGACGTTGCAAAGGAAGCGTTGCAACAGCTACGTCTCGACCTATATTGATAACAGCTCTTGTACAAGCATTGTACGCGGCATCTTATACTGGAAACTTTGATAAAACTATTTCAATTTTATGAACGAGCGTTAACAAAAATGAATTTTCTGCATAGAAATCTTAGAATCAAGCTTCGTAACTTAGACTTCCAAACTTCCAGACTTCACGTGACAGAGGTACTACAAATATCAAAGTTACCGCAATCCAAGGATTAAGTTCGTCAAAGTTGTAACTTAAATTGCAATAAACCATATATTAATTAACTTATTAATTATATATAGCATTCGATTATAAAACGATTTTTGGTTAGCAGCTATTCCTGATGATAATGAGCTAGGCTGTCAATTATAAATAATTTGGAAACGAATATTTGGCCCACCTTTACCAGTAAAAAGTCAATAATGAAACAAAAAAATAGCCTTTAAAAGGAATCTACATTAGTGTCGAGGAGTCCGTTATTTTGGTACCAGTGGATAAGCACAAGTTATATTTATTGTATGAGGCTATGTATAATGTGTTAAATTATTTGAAATAAAGTAAAAAGTTTACCTACCTACTGTAAATAGTATAGATCCTATGGTTGGCATTCTATTTATTACCAAACGATTTATAAAATAGTTAATTTCACGGTTTGACACGGGTATCTATCGATAGGCGATACACAAAAACATTCTTAGACATGTATTTTTTCTTAGTATATTTACAAATGTAATATAGTAAAAATGAGCTCGTTTTACAGTAAGTAGCCCCTGATGATGTAATCCAAATAAAAAAAGCAATTTCGACTTTTATTGCACAAACATTTTTTATAAATTTTAATATTTGTTTGTCATTTTATTGTAATAACATTAAATTATATGCTGTCTATTTCTTTTATATCGCTATTTCTGTATCTGTTTATTAATATGTCTGAATTGCTTGTGGTCACTTACATGGTGCAGCACAAGCGGCGTCTATAGTCCGCATTGATGGATAATCTATACTTATACTTAATATTATAAAGAGGAAAGATTTGTTTATTTGTTTGTATTCAATAGGCTTCGAAACTACTGAACCGATTTGAAAAATTCTTTCACTGTTTGGAAGCTACACTATTCCCGAGTGACATAGGCTATAATCTTTTTTTTTTTAAAAACTAGAGATCCTTACTAAAACTCCATTAATGTAACCCAAGGTGTAAAAAAATTACCTAAAATATTCTTTACATCGCGTGCCCTGCGAAAACTGTTGATCTATACTAATATTATAAAGAGGAAAGATTTGTTTGTTTCGAATAGGCTCCGAAACTACTGGACCGATTTGAAAAATTATTTTTCCATTAGAAGCCGACATTGTCCCTGATGAACATAGGCTACTTTTTTAAATTTTTTTTTTCGTTATTTTTTTTGGTTTCATGTGTGTTTTAATGTTTCCGTAGCGAAGCGAGGGCGGGTCGCTAGTGGTAGAATAAAATAATGTAGTACGAATTTGTGGAACACATTATTATTTACAAAGAGTGTCGCGACAGCATATGCCTAATTATTACAGTTATGCCGCAATAAGTGTTCTTTTATTTAAAAAAATAAAACAACGTCATATTATATCGTTACATTTTGTTATTAACATATGTTAAAGATCCGAGCGGAGTCGGAGCGGGTCGCTAGTAAATAATAAAGCAAGTTGCTTAGTGCTTGAATACCGAGAATATTTCAATTCCGCTTTATACAATTCCGTCATATTACAAGAAACGAAAAATACCGAGAAGTGAAAATCTATTGAAGAGCAATACAATAAGGTCTTATTTAGAAAAGGCATAAATAACATTTCTGCTCCTTCTTTTTCATTAAAAGAATTATAAATGTTAACATTAAATGTAAGCAAAAATAAGATNTGCTTAGTGCTTGAATACCGAGAATATTTCAATTCCGCTTTATACAATTCCGTCATATTACAAGAAACGAAAAATACCGAGAAGTGAAAATCTATTGAAGAGCAATACAATAAGGTCTTATTTAGAAAAGGCATAAATAACATTTCTGCTCCTTCTTTTTCATTAAAAGAATTATAAATGTTAACATTAAATGTAAGCAAAAATAAGATACTTCTAAAGGTAAGGTATTCTTTGATAACTGCATAAGTTCAAACAAGATGTTGTCATGAACATGTTTGAGAGAAATTATATCTTGATTAGATGCAACTCGGTCTCTGATGATAATAGAACACACATAACCTTATAAGAAACATACATTTCACACTTATAAGGGAACTCAGAAGGTATAAAAGTGAAGAGCTGAGATAAATTTAGCTGCATCTACATATGGTCTTTAATTGTTTAAGAATGTTATTTGCGCCCTATTAAGAATAATGAATCTAGTTGTTTCTTGAAAAATGGTGTTTCATAAGCCAAATGTTTTGTGTAATTGTTTTTATTTATTATCACATGTAATAATTGCCAACCACGCTGATGTATTTCGGCTCGGGTATAAATTTAACTTAAATTGAAGACACATTGAGAGCTCGCATATTTCAATGCAAAATCATGTCTTTCACTTTTATTTTAACTTTATTTTACATTACATAAAGATGAAATCATCAAGTGCATACTAATGACATAATAATACAGTTCAAGTTATATAAGTTTGATTCCATTATTTATTTTGTCGTTAATATTATGACAAAAACTTAATGCTACGATTAAAATTTACAAATTGACAATCAAATAGATAATCAAAGTATATAAAGGAAAAATTTAATGATTTTCTAAAAAAAAATATGTAAAAATTTTAGAAGTCGTCGTGGCCGTCGGAAAGTATAGACGTCAGTTGCATTCCGATGCAAGGGTGTTGGAATCCCGCAGGCGGGTACCAATTTTTCTAGTGAAATACGTACTTGACAAATGTTCACGATGAAGGAATAACATCGTGTAATAAAAATCAAACTCGCAAAATTATAATTTGCGTAATTACTGGTGGTAGGACCTCTTGTGAGGTACCATCATCCCGCCTATTTTTGAAACAGTAATGCGTTTCGGCTCCAGTAACCACTTAACACCAGTTGGGCTGCGAGCACGTCCAACCGTCTAAGCAATATAAAAAAAAAGTTCTATTGTTCTATTTAATCTAATTGTAATATTATAAAAATATCAACTTAGTGTACTTTGATTTGTTTTACGTTGAAATTATATAACCTGCTGTGCTTTCTATGTTATTCAATCAGAATTAGAGCCTCAGTTAATTCCATCATAACAAGTCACTGTGGAATTTTGCGATTTCAAATAATATTTCTTTTACACAACTCTCAGTTAAATAAATGTTTGCATATTCACCGAGGTGTGTTGAAAAGCCGTGTGTACCCATGAGTGTTTTGCAAGAACAAAAGGGCTCGACAAGTGAATCTTAATAATTTATACATCTCAGTCTTCGGCAGGTTCAGTTGGACCTAGCCCGTGCATCAGCCCGCTGAGTTTCTCGCCAGTTCTTCTCAGCGGGTCGCAATTACTATCCAGTAGTAGATTCATTCACTAAGCAGTTGCTCTTGAGTTGTTGGGTCTCCTTTGAAGGCGCTCGGGCAGCTGTTAGCAAATCCCACTCCTTCTGGTTGAGCCTTTGCTCGCCCACCTGTCCTGGTGAAACTGGGAAGGCCTTTGGGCCACCAGTGATCCCTCATTCATAAAAAAAGGTTAAGTTTGGAATGTTATGATCAATTTGACAACAATAGTGTAAAAATTCGATTTGAAATAAAAATATGTCAGTAAAACTCTGCTTACAATAATTTTACTTGCTGTTATTTAACAAACAAAAAAATAAAACTAAACGCGTAAAAAGTTATTTTTAGTGCGTCTGCAAAAACATTTGATGCAGAAACGTTTGTCGAGAACTCATCAATTGTTATTGCGTTAATCTTGGATGAAGACACCAACGGTTCGACGTGATGATGTCACGGGAGAAACCGATCGTCGGTATTCGGTTTACCGCGTGCGGGATATTATCACGAGCCGTTCGTTGTACAGGCAGACCCACGTGCTGGTGGAGTTATTGATGGCAGTGGCAGTGGGCGCATAATAACTGGTTCGACCAACCGAACGAAACGCTCAGTTTCCGATTGTTCGCTACGGGGAACGCGTGTCTCCGAAAACATTGAGCCGGCGTTGCGCGAGAGCATATACGATTTATCGAACATAATAAATTTTCAAATAGACAATTTTCTTCAACGATTTTTCCAAACGAACAATATTAAATCTTGTGTATTCGTAGTAGTGCGTGTGCGTCTTTATAGAAGTCGAAACGACCCTCAACTGCTGAATCGTTGGCAATCTACGAGTTCAGGTGCAATGTTTATATTATTAACCTGTCCTTAAGTACGATAATTATATTTCGATGTATAAGAGAATGTAACCGGTAAAAAACACTCATGTTCGCTGCTGTACAATTGTCGGCGTCATGCAAACATGTTACGATTGTGTAATCAAAACAGGATCCAATTTTCATGACTTACCGATTCAGTTGTAAACAGAAGGCAAACGATTTCCTTGTTTGTTGTCATGGCTCGTTAGATCTACTTTGATAATGTAAATTTCGTGACACATTTCGTAGGCGTCGTAAAAAGCGTTGCATGTTGCATTATTTAGGTACCTACCAGTTTCTAATACAGGTCATACTCGTAAGTCGAAGCTGTTGCACAATTGAAAGTAATGTTTACTTTTAGGAATACGCGTCATATTCTGACACACATGCCTATGAATGCAACGCGTTATTTCTAATTACCTACATGACTGTAGGAATGCAATCGAGATTTGGCACAGTTTCACGCACTAAACGTCGTGAATCATAAAACGTTTTGAATATTGCATTTATATTGGGAAATTTCGACCAAAAAATCAGATTTACAGACAGACATCTTAGAAAGAAAACAAAACGATTCTAAATGAATTCTGAATAAATTAAAATTCCAGATACGGTCATAGCACTTCATTGATCAAAAAAACAATGCATATTTTATGAATGCGTTAAACGTATTTGTCCAAATGTAACTATGTAAATAAAACCGTGTGTAGCAAACGTGATACCATTTGTAAACATTGTTGGCCTTTGGTTTGCATTCTTGCGACGACGGTTACCGTAGGAGTAAATAAACGAATTGCGTAGTATGATTTTTAATAAACACCTTACTAGCTTAAATTTATTTTCAGCCTTGTCTGACTCGATTGTAACGCCAGGAATCGAATACATAGTTAAAACATTACGACCCGCACTTCGTAATTGTATGGCATTCGTAGCGATTGATCGAGATGTTTCTGGTAACGTGTCTGAAATATTTTCCCGATAACATTAATAATTAAAGCCCGTTAAAGAATAGCATAACCTTTTATTAGTTACGAAGGACAGTAATCCCTATGCCTTATTTAACGTTATTTAGTTTGTGACAAAATTATAGTGATTAAATGTATGTGAATTATTTTTATAATACTTTTTTTCTCAACTTTTGTTTAAATGTAATTTCATTTCTCCGGCTTCAAAAAACTTCTTTCCCATAGAAACCTTCAATCCCTAATTCACTACTAACTTATCACAAGCAAAAAAAAAGCTTCTATATTCACTTCTAAAAATTATAGAGACAAGTAGGTATCTGTAATTTCTTACTAAAATGAAAGTTTTCCATACATTTCTTGTTGTTCTTCTTTAGAAGTGATATGTCCAGGTACGAAGTACTACATTCCAAAGTTCCGGCGCTTTAGACGTGTCGTTGATGAATCAATCATTCAGTCAGGAGAATTAAGCTTATCTCACACAGCTGTTAAATTTATTTAAATATCTTTAACAACCTAATCTTCTGTAGTCATTAAAAAAAGGAAAATCAAATTTCACTTCAATATTTCACACTAGCTTTATTGAACTATATGATAGTTGCATATTTTAAAAATATAGTTAATTTTAAAAATAATAATTTGAAATCTTGCTTATTATTCACGTACCAAGTTTAGCTAGTGATTAGCTGTTAAACAAAAGGTGAACTTAGAAGATTCATTACAATCATTACCTTTATTTTAATTTGAAATTCAAGTTAATAAATATTTTGAATATTTTATAGAAAAAAAAACGGTTTCTTTAGATGTATTGACCAATTGTTACGAGGTCGGGGTGCGATATCAGAACGGTTCGGCAGTACTCGAAGGAAATGTGTCGTTAGCTGGCCACACTGGCAGGGCCCAGTCTTCTCTATTGATTAATTCAAATGATTTTATTGCATAATGGCCAGTGTCAGTGAATTGGTTGGCTAGGCGCGACCAACGTTATCGTTTGCTATGACTGTATTTCATATATTTCGACGTAGTTACAATAATACTAAGTACATTTTTGTTTTTTCTTTCATTGAATTTAAGAAGTACTATGTGAATCAGTTAGAGGTTTTATTTCCCATTTTTTTATTGCTTAGATGAGTGGACGAGCTCACAGTCCACCTGGTTAAGTGGTTAATGGAGCTCATAGACATCTACAATGTAAATGCGCCTTCCACCTTGAGTTATAAGTTCTAAGGTCTCAAGTATAGTTACAACGGCTGCCCCACCCTTCAAACCGAAATACATTACTGCTTCACGGCAGAAATAGGCAGGATGATGGTACCTACCCACGCGGACTCGCAAGAAGCCCTACCACCAGTAAATAGATGTAACCACCATATAATAAATGTAAGATCATCAGACATCACAATAACTCATAATTCATATATTTTGCGTTAACAGCAAAACGAACACTCCACTGCCCTGAACTTTGAACACCTTGCGTTTTAAATGTATGCATAATAAAATTATGACAGTGTGAATTCATATTGGTGCTGTACTTTAGTGCTATATTTATTCAAAATATATATAATATATTTATAGATATTATATTTGAATTCGAATTTTTACATAAGTTATTAGTATAAATTAAAAAGAAAGTGAAGCCTTCTGATAAAAAAAAAATCTTTCTTACCAACAATCGCTTGATCAAGAAATAGAAGTTATAATATACCAGCTGGCCTCTGTACTCAACTCTGATCTCTGGTATTGACCTTTCTCTTGGAATTTATCACAAACCCTTAAGCCTTGTTCGGACTAGGCGAGTATTTTAGTCGAGTACCGAGTAATTTAGTAGCTAAATGTGTCTGAGCACCAAAAATATAGTCGAGTAGGTTAGTAAATAATCTAGTCAAGTCAATCCATTTTTTTCTATTTTTTCGGGCGAGTAGCGAGTAGTTTAGCCACTAAATTACTTGGTACTCGACTAAAATACTCGCCTAGTCCGAACAAGGCTTTAGCGGTTAATGTCAGTAACAATAAACCTAACAGTGAATTATGAAGACGTATATGTAATATTTAATTCAACTAAACATTAAATTATATTTTTGATTTATGTGTTAATTTAAAATTGTGAAGTACATATTATTATGTATGTGCAATAAGCCAGTTCTTTTTCAATAGCATACTTCAAATCACTTGTACGTAATAAATACCTAAAGGAAAATTATCGCTGATTTCGAATTCAGTTTCTATTACATTAATTCGAACTAAACCAAGTTGCAGCTGCGCTTGTCATAAATATCAATTCCTCGGAACATAAACAGTAGTAACACACATGTAGCGAAATAGACGAGCGCTTGTATACACGTGTGCGGCGCGGGGTACTTGTACTTATTGCAATCTACTAGATGATGACCGAGCTTTACTCGGTTTTTTTTTTATAACGCCATCTTGTTGTGCCTTTAAAGCAGTTATTTGCTCTCAATTAAAAAAAAAATAGTATTATTATTCGCCAATAGATGGCCTTCGGGAAGAGTCATAAAGTTGATTATCGATAAAGTTGATTATTGAAAACACGAAAAAAAAACAACATTTTCTGAAAATAAATCGTAACTAGATCGATTTATCGCCCCCGAAATTCTCTGTAAACTAAATTTTATGAAAATCGTTGGAGCCGTTTCCGAGACTATATATATCTAATATATAAAATTCTCGTGTCACAATGTTCGTTCCCATACTCCTCCGAAACTGCTTGACCGATTCTCATGATTTTTTTTTTTCATATTCAGTAAGCCTGAGAATCGGCTACTATCTATTTTTCATACCCCTAAGTGATTAGGGATGTCCACCCCTAACATTTTTTTTTTATTTGGACTTTTTTTTTGTTAAACTGAGGTATTATGTGGTTGAATGAGGTTTTGTTATTTTTATTATATATTCCCTCATCGTTCACAGCACTACATACCTCTTTCACTCATTTACCACATCCTTACACACTTACAATAAGTTACTTTTTTTTCTACACTAGAAATTCCCTAGAAATCTTATATATGGCAAAACAACGTTTGCCGGGTCAGCTAGTTTATATATATATATTTATACAAGAATTGCTCGTTTAAAGGTATAAGATTATTAATTATATCGTTGTATCGTGTAAGTAGAGAGTTCCGCGGCGCAATATCGAGACTTCATCTCGTTAACCCGATGTCGAAGAGCACTCGGGCCAAGTTCATAGCTCGCTCGACAGCAAGCCATTTTGATCGTGTCTATGAATGTTGCAAGCTACGGGAAAAGCACCGTTTTAATAAAATAAAATAAAAACCATTAAGTGACCAAGATAACTGAAATAGATTTCACGAATCGAGTTAGAAGCCAATAAAACTGTTATCTTAATTCAAGCTTGCGGGCCCTGGTCTGTTATTGAGTTCACGATCATAAAGAAACCCATTGAATTGAAGTAAAATTAGGCGCCGTTGAAAATTTGTAGACTTATCTTAATACATATGTATTATTTTTTTGTTGCATGGGTGGATGGACGACCTCATAGTCCACCTGGTGTTATGTGGTTACCGGAGCCCATAGACATCCACAACATCAATGCCACCACCCACCTTGAGACATGAGTTTTAAGGTCTCAGTATAGTACAACGGCTGCCCCACCCTTCAAACCGAAACACGTTACTGCTTCACGGCAGAAATAGGCAGGGTGGTGGTACCTACCCGTGCGGACTCACAAGAGGTCCTACCACCAGTCTGTATTTGGGGATAACGACTACGAGACGATCTTCCAGTAAGCGGATGATGTAACTCGATAGACCAATGTTCTTGTCCAGAACTTGTGTATATGCAAGTTTATCTTGGAAATGTCGTTAGCGCGTATTCAGGTTTAAGCCAAATATTTTCTACTTTCTGATATAGCTACCGCTACAACTATGTTTCGAATGTGTTGTATATGTATATATATACATGTATATGTATATTGCAATAATAATGTGTTGAATAACCGAGCGCTCGTTGATCCCGGGTGTAGGTTGATTGAGCCACAGC